ATAAAATTTGAACTACGAGCTGTTACAAAAGCCATGAGCAGGCTGTGAATAAGCCAGGAGCAGGCTGTGAATAGCCGTGAAGCTGCTACAGTAAAATTTGAGTCGTGAGCAACATATAGAGTAGCAATCGACTTGATCGCGGGCAAATAAACCAAACAAGCAAGACCTGCAAGCAAAAGTGATCAAATTGCTGGTAAGATGCTTGGCGAGATGGTACCAGGATTGCATGCTTGGTGACCTTATGCTCAGGGTCACAGGTTCGAATCCTGGGGAGGGCAAAAACCACACATGAGCAGTGTGGAAGGCCATGAGTCCACTGTGGGACTCAATGGAGTCGGTGGGTCCCCCGGGGCACGAGCCAGTCAGGGCCGCGGCTAGACTGGGCTCACCAGGCAGGGCCACGGCTAGCCTGGGCTGGGGGGGCTGAGGGTTAGTTGAACCCTCATCAAAAAATAAACAAACATACCGCGAAGAAAGCGAACAGAGGTATAAACAAACGCATCGTGAACATATATCCAACACAAGAAACCGATTTCACACATCGAAGAAAGCAGTGGAGGCAGTAACACCTAACACGCCAAAAAATAGGAGCAACTCATGTCGCGATTGCGACTAACATATCGCGAAGAGAAGAGCGGCTCGCACGCTGCAAATAAAAGATAATCGACTAACTCACAGAGGAATATCACGAAAGCAAGGAATTCAAGCATTGCGAATTAGTATCACAGCTAATACACCTCGAAACAGGGAGATAGCAACCAAAAGAGAAAACGAGCATGTCAAAAGACAACTCAGAAGCAGCACAAGTAGAGACTCATGTTTAACACAATTTAATGGGGCAAGTACGGGGATCAAGAACATCAATCTCACAGGAAACAATCACAGGAAAATCGAGGAATAACAAGGATAAACAATTGAATCAAACGACCGATCATGAACAAAATTAATTAATTCTCGAATCCAATTGAATCTAACGGTTTACGTTATGGAAGAATGGCATGTATATGTGATATTAACAGAAAACACTAACCTGTCGATCTTAGACAACGCAAGCAGGCAAATCGCGAACAGGAAATCGAAAGTCGAGAAAAGCAAAAGTCACGATCCATGACACGTCGCTGAGAGAAAAAGAACCTCACCTTGTTACCTGCCTCGATTTGCTATCATGCAGAAGAAGTCCCGACTTGATATCTCTCAAAACAAAAAGCTCGACTTGATATTTCACACGATAAAAAGTCTCGACTTGATTTCTCGCAAAATAGGAATCTCGACATGTTACCTCG